TCGCCTTCAGCCGCTCCATAAGTCCTTCCGCGGGTTTGGAGTGCCATCTGCACTCGTCCTCTATCGTCCGGTGAAGCTGTAATGGCCAGCTGCGACCAACAGCATTAGAGTAGTCCGAAAAAAAAATACATGAACTGTGAATGAAAAAAATGCATGATTGAATGAACGAAGCTGGGGCTAATATTTAATTAATAATTACACCATTTCTTATGGCATCATAATTAGTAGGTATTTCAACTAATAGTCTTGAGAAGGAAAAGGACAGATGTCTCTATCCGCGGCGTGATGGTCACGCAAACAAAGTCGCGAGCGTAATCTAGTTAATTGCATACATTAGTGTAAGGACGGTGTAATATAAATATTCAATTATGACTAGGTGCGCCCTCAACATGTGATATCGTAATCGTGTACAGTCGGCCCCGAAGATTTGTAAAGTTGTTCTCAGATTACCTCCGAATATTTAGTACGTCAAAGATTTGCTCGGAGTTTTTTTTTTTTGTGAAATTATGCATTTTTGGGAAGAAAATTGAAAAGCAAAATAGTTTAGGATTAGTTTTATTAGATTTTTTTAAATTAAAATACAGTCTAATGTCATTCGCTCTCGATATAGTTATAGTAAAAGTTAGAACAAAGAAGTAAGAAAAGTTCAATGATATGAATCCTAATGCTCCAAGTTAATACTACGATCTGTCAGTGAATTAGAAGACGTGTTTAGTCAATTTTCTTTTTTTTATTGTAGATTTCTTTTATTCAGATCAACAAATAATTGTTACTTTTTCTTCGCGATACGCGACTATACGCGATCTTCCTACGAATCATTAACGAACCCACAGAATACAAACCGTGGTTTTGACAATGTTTTCAGGAGCCTGACTGTACTTGTTTCATTATTGCTCTTGATTTTATCTTAGTATTAATTACATATACATTTACATTGCGATTTGTGTTTCTCGATTTAACAAATAAAGAGTCGAGTATCAAGTCTATGGATATAGTCTACGGAGCAAAGTAGAGCGAAGAGGTGTAATACAAATCAAAAATATGTTGCGATCATAAAAGTAATTTTTTTATGTAATCGGAATGGCGAACAAGTATATTTGAGCGGTAATTGTCATATAGATGGACTATGGACAACACGTCATTACCGTGACTTTCGACTCATGCGTTGCTTTTCCAGAGCAGCAACATGTCATGACTCCTTATCCCGAATTATCACTGCCTAATCAAATTCAAATTCAAAAATCATTTATTCATGTTGTGACTAAATTTGACGTTCATAAGCGGCTAAAATTTTCACTACCATACTAGATCTAATTAAAAGTAGAGTAGAGATCTAAGAAGAACTGGCAAGAAACTCAATTGAATCTGCCCCTGGAGTTGTCGAGAGGGTTGGCGTTGTGTCAGATTTATATTTTTTATGAGTGTAGGCCACTTCATTTCCGCTGCCCCATGTCAGATATTACCTTTCTAAAATAATATTTTTTTCTAATTTAATGAAATCTGCCGGTCTTAGGACGCTGCCGCCCCTATATATCCTATTTGTAAATCCGGGACAGATTGGCAGTGTTATTACGCGATATGGAGATTGATCGGGACACTCCAGAAATATGATTAAAAGAGTGGTAAAAAGGCTTCGATTTTTCTAAAATTTAGTAGCATCTGTTGCTAGCTCGTTTATCTTTGAAAGAATTAATCACATCATTTCAATTTTAGTTTTAATTGACGATATGGTATGGAGATATCGGCCTCAGCGGTCTAGAGGTTTAGCACTCCGCTTTGCTACCAATAGTCGCTAGTTTGATTCCTCGCATGATGCGAACCGTGTCTATTCATAAGCACGATTGTTTGTGTTGACCTGTGTGTCTATGTAAGTTTTTTAATGGATTGTAATGTAATTGTGCATCTGCCTATGCTAACGATTTACGCTGGCACCAGTGGAGGATGATAAGATGAACATGAGGTAAACTCAGTTAGCATATTATAACATATTCACCAGGAATTTGTCATGATGGTTTCCAGGGGTAACCGCGTGGAGCTGAACCTGGGATCAACAGTCCACATTATTAATAATATCCTTCCCTCATCTTTTTGTCTTATATGGATTTCTGACTAGTCGAGTTATACCAAAGTACAAACTTTGTAGTGGTATGTATGTTGATATACGATATCAAGGCGCATTCGAAGCCGCGGGGCGCGGCCTGTATACAGTGATAAGGAAATGTGATTTCAAGTGGAATGCGAGCGGGCGGAGGCCGTCCAGACCGGCCACAATGAAAGCTGATGAAATATCACGAAATTATTGCGCTCCGAGTGGGACTTTATATTTTAAACATACAAACGGGAAGGGTTATGTATATACATCGTATATCTATATTATATATATAACTCAAAGGTGACTGACATAGTGATCTATCAACGCACAGCCCAAACCACTGGACGGATCGGGCTGAAATTTGGCATGCAGGTAGATGTTATGTCGTAGACATCCGCTAAGAAAGGATTTTGATTAATTCCCCTATTTCATCCCCTTGGGTCCAAGGGGATGAAAGTTTGTATGAAATTTTGTCAATTTCAAACCGATCGGGCTGAGACTTTGCATGCATAAAGCTGCTATAGTAGGATTTTGATAAATTCCACCCCTAAGATGATAAATTAACGCGAGCGAAGGCGCGGGCAAAAGTTAGTATAATATAAAATATTTGTTAACAACAATGGAAATTAACGAACTATCACGAAATGATCTCAGTGCTACTTTATATTTGTAACTGACAGAAATAGGAAGGCTTACGATTCTGGTGTTGTTCTCTCAGAGGAAGTAAGAAGTTATTTCATACGTTTATTAATTTTTATTCTACACATTTCATTGTTACCACTATGGTAAAAAAAACTTATGAATGTCGCTAACCAAAGTAACAAAGTCGAGAATAATAAATGCGCATTGTCACCTGTTCAATTTATTTATATAAACTAACTACCCGCCACGGTTTCGCACGGGTGTACATGTATTATATATACATATAAACCTCCCACTTCAATCAGTTTATCTATTTCTAAAAACTGCATTGAAATCCGTTGCGTAGTTTAAAATATATAAATGAACAGACAACGGAAGCGACTTCATTTTATACTATGATTATAATAATACACCTGATTTAATTATGACAAGTTACAAATTTATTTATCCAGACTGACCAAATAGAAAGCTGATGAAATATCCCGAAATGATTGCAGTCCGCGTAGGACTTGATGTTTTGAATCAACAGAAACTAGAAGTGCTGCTTATAGAGACTAGCTGTACCCGCGACTTCGTCCGCGTGGATTTAACTTTATTTTCTAAAATAAAAGTAGCCGAAGTTACTCCTTATTACATCAGCTACCTGCCAATAAAAGTTCCGTTATAATAGACATTTCAGAGATTAGCCGGAATAAACAGACAGACAAACAAAAATTGTAAAAAATATTATTTTGGTGTAAGTATTTATATTCATATGCATGTAGTAAAAATCGGTTATTTCAATAATACAAACAGACACTACAATTTTATTTGTATGTATAGGTAAAATAAACTTTATTGAAGGACATAAACAATATATGAAAGAACAAATTACAATCAGGTGTCTTTATTGCTAAAAGCAAATTTTCAAGGCATACTTAAACGGATTACTATAAATATTGAAGGGTTGAAATACATTTTCGTTCTAAAGAAATATGCATAATAATAATAATCATCATTAACACCTATCACATAAATGAAAATGCTCACAATATGTACACACATACACCTTGCACTTATTTGGCTTTTGTAGCGTATACGTGTGGTATATCACAAGTATATGCCACAAAAGCTGTAAAAAAAAAATTACGGTCCCTCCTTTATTTACGGTCCCATCGATCCCCTGTCTAATTCAAACGGGGATCAAAATTAAGACAGCCTAAACCGAGGTTCGAACCCCTGACGGTGCCACACTGAAATCGCATCCGACAGGCGGTAGTTGGCCTTCAATTAATTGGTGTTTTTTGAGCAAATAAATTATTATTATTATTATTATAATCGCTTCTTAATTCCTTCTGCTAGTTTGGAGTGTCATTTACACTCACACCCTACCGTGCAGGCCAGCTAGCGCCGTAGTCGTAGAAGTCCAAAAAAAAAGGGTACAGAGGCATGACGTCATAGTCCTACGGAATGGCAATGCGTGGTACAATTTATTTGATACTTCGCAATATATAGCTTAGTAAATATACACTTGTGGGCAATTCAGTGCATGTAATATTACCGAACGTCCTGGTCACCCCGTTTTGAGTTGAACATGATAAGAATATATTAAACGTGATTCATAATATACAATATATATTATGTACAAACAGATCTTGCGGCAATGAAATAGACATGCAAGCGTTGAAGTGTTTTTTATATAAAATAGATGTTATTAACTGAATGAAATTATTCGACGTTCTGAGAAAATTAGAGCGTAGGTAACGTAGTCAAAAGATACATCCGGTAGTAAAAATGTATTTTTTTGATGTTCAAAATAATTTAGTATACAGTACATAAAGAAGAGGTACTGTACGTAGTCAAACTACAATTAGTAATAAGTTAAATTAACTTATCTCTATAAATAAAGTGAAATCTTAAATGATAGTAATCAGAGATAATTTATACAGCGTCAATACAAAGAACTATTTAAATAATGAATTGCCTTCTGCTGAATGAATAAAGTAGCATTTTTTTTGTTTTTATATTAAGAGAATCGTCTGCATCTACGTATCATACCACAGATTTTTATGGATATGGATATCATCTGGTGCATCATCACTGTATAGTATAAAAGAAAGTCCTGTCGCTGTCTGTCCGTCCCTATGTATGCTTAAATCTTTAAAACAACGCAACGGATTTGAAGCGGTTTTTTAGTAGAGTTATTCAAGAGGAAGGTTTATATATATAATACATATTCCCCCGTGCGAAGCCAGGGCGATTAGCTAGTTTAAGAATAAAACAAACATTGTGTTTAAATTGAAATTTAATCTATTATCCGCCAGATTAGAAATTTCACAATTGCTTTTTAAAAGTTTTACAACTAGAACATTGCGTCATATTAATGTATCAACTGAAACAAAAGATCCTACAAAAGTATACAATTAACAGGGAGTCTTAATTAGTGTTGGGACTAAAGGACTTTGCAGCGAGACTGGAGAGATTGCTTTAAGTCCTGGCTGCACAAATACTGGACCTGTGAGCCATTGTTGTTCTAGTTTCAATCCTGGTATGGTCAGAGGAGATGACAATAGAGACGCAGTTGCTACAGGTGCTGTGGCAATAGCTGCAGCTGGTAAAGGTGCGACAGCTAAAGATGGAGATGGTAATAAAGCCTGTGCAATGGAAAGAGGTGTAGCAATAGCTGGCGCTTTAGGAAGAGGCACAGCAGGCGCCACTGGTTCAGAAATCGCTACAGGTGCTTCGGGTAGCGCAGCTGTTGCTTCGGGAATTGGGGCAACCGCAGCTGGAGCTTCCGACAGCCGTAGACCTGCTACGTCCGAAGCAGGTGCAGCACCTACCGATGCTTCAGGAATAGACTGAGCTTGTGCAGCAGCCTGTGCTTCCAAGTTGCGAACAAAACCAGCTGCTGCCTTTTCAGATTCTGAATCTGACACTGCTGATTCTACTTGTACTGAATCCTTGTCGCCCTCATTTTTGGTAGCCTCGGGATTCTCAGCGGCTTTTAATAATGGTGTTTGACAGTCTGCTGTCGCAACATCTGGAATTACATTGCTATAGATTCGGCTGACTACTGGAGAAACTACGACGCCATTCAGAACGGCTTTGCCGAGCAAATCGGCATTACTGGCCACAGTCCCATCAATTTTAGCCTCAGCTGTCTGTAGTGCTGTCAGTGCTTGCCATTTCGTGTCCTCAGCAGACCAGAAAGCTTCCTGGCTTTTTTCTTTTAGCAAATCATTGACTTCGATTACTTTCTCGTTTTGATTTTCGATGGCTTGATCGAAGAGTTCCCGGTTTCTGTCCGCAACTGCTCTGATAGCATCTTCAACTTTGACTTTAGCATCAATAGCGGCTGCTTGGATGTCTCCAGGTGATATAGTTGGGATGTTTGCAATGATGGGCACGGTGAGGGGTGTAAGTGTGCCAAATAAAGCACCAGATGGCGCAGCTGCCGCGCAGGCGAAGAAGGCGGATAGAACCTGTGAAGAAAGAACATGATGATAATAATAATAATAAATAATAATAACCCTGGACAATCCATTCAGCCCTCAGCTTAAGCTGAACTTGTATTATGGGTGCGAAAGTATGATATCTGTATAGTATTATTGTTACAGCCTAGCCTAGTAATGACGTTCAATGCCCAGACTACAATATGAGATTAGTTGTCTGATAAGTCATTTTAATTTAAAATTTATTTTTTTATTATCACAAAAATTTGCATCACATAATATTCTTACATTTGTAAAATAAAAAATACACTTATATTTATTTTATATAATTTTAAATACAAGTACATTATTTAAACACTATGTTATATTTGAATTTTAAACTGACTAAAAATATAGCCAGTTTCTTTTGTCCTCTTTCTGTCTTTTCTCCTCTACCCAAAGGGTGTCTGGAAGAGATCGCATAAGCGATAAGACCGCCTTTTGTACCCATATTCTAAATATTGTTTTCTTTTGTGTATATATATATATATTGTTTTGTTATTATGGTGCAATAAATAATAATAAATAAATCAAATAAAAATCAATTATTCATATAGGACATTTTACCTGCTTATGAACGTCAAGTTTTTTTTTTATATTTATATATTTTCCCCTCCCGTCCAGTTCAGTATACAGATACAAAATACGTGTATAACAGATTTTTTAAATGGATGATAACTGAATCCCGCCTGCGCTAACGGTATACTTTGATGGGGCACCAGTGAAGGATGATAGGATGCGCATGAAATTAGGTCAGTTAGCCCATTGTTAGAATTTACCCATTGTGACCGCGTGGAGGAAGATAACACAATGGGTTTATTATATTGATACCAGTGAAGGATGATAGGACATGAAATAGTTTAGCCCATTGTGACGAGGACCGCGTGGAGGAAGACCTAACGTGGTAAGTTGTTAGCAATGGGTTTATTATATTTACTTTGATGGGGCACCAGTGAAGGATGATAGGATGTGCATGAAATTAGGTCAGTTAGCCCATTGTGACGAGATCACCAGGAATTTACCACGATAGTTTCCAGGACCGCGTGGAGGAAGACCTAACGTGGTAAGTTGTTAGCAATGGGTTTATTATATTTACTTTGATGGGGCACCAGTGAAGGATTTCTCATTGTGACGAGATCACCAGGAATTTACCACGATAGTTTCCAGGACCGCGTGGAGGAAGACCTAACGTGGTAAGTTGTTAGCAATGGGTTTATTATATTTCTCATTACAAACAATTTTTCCTCCATCGTTCATAATAGTTTGAGTTTGTATTTTAAATATCGAATTCAATATACTATAAATGTAATCTGTGGATATATATAATTTTCAGTTTTCTGGGAAAATTTTTAAATATTTCTGATGTGCATTTAACACGGTTATAACAAACATTTTGTTATCTACCTTAGAATAGTGAAGTTACACTTTGTCCATTAAGTTAAGACTGTTTCTCACTATGTTGAGTTAGATTAAGATACAGTATAGCATAGTTTTGTTTCTGTAATTAGGTATATACAAGTAGGTTACACTATATATACGTAACTTAATTATACAACAAAGAACCTAAAATTAAAAATCTTAAAAAATATAATGTAATAACCAACTATGAATTAGGTAGAACTATAGCCATTTAGGAGGGCGAGGCCAGATTAAGAAATTGTGAAAATCATATTTTTCTCCGACGCATTTCCGTGGTTCTATGCTTCCCGTGAAGCCGCAATTGCTCAACAGATTAGGACTAATCATTATCGTTTCTTTATTTAAGAAACATAGTTGTTTTTAAATAATTTTTATACATTTATATAGGTAAATAGTAATATAAGAGAAATACTAGGAGAATGGGGATTTATTTTTAAAGGGTTGTGCAATAAATAGCGTAAACAGAAAATTATACAAGAACAGAACTATATACTTAAATACAAATTTACAATGTAAAGACATTTCTGAATATATAATTATAATTAGTATATTTATATAGTTCTAGATGTAATATTATGTTATCTGAATTTAATTTTATTTTTCTAAAATAAAACTAGCCTAAGTTACTCCTTATTACATCAGATACCTGTCAAAAAGAGTCCCGTCAAAATCGATCCAGCCATTTCAGAGTTTAGCCGGAGCAAACAGACAAACAAAAATTGTTAAAAAATGTTATTTTGGTGTATGTGACGTATTTATATTCATATGCGTGTAGTAAAAAACGGTTATTTCAATATTACAAACAGACACTCCAATTTTATTTACATGTATAGATTTTTTTTACATATTTTTATTTATATGTATAGTATATATTAATTATTTAAAAACAATTTTATTTATATGTATAAATAATTAAAAACAAAGGGCGCCGTCGCTGTCTATTAGCTTATATATCTTTTAAATTACGCAACGGATTTTAATGCAGTTTTCAGCAATAGATAGAGTGATTCAAGAGGAAGGTTTATATTATAATACATGCGTGTTATAGTATACAACAAGCCGAGAAATTAAATGATAAAGTGCAACCCTCCGAAGCCGGGCGGGTAGAGAGTTTTTAATATATATAAATATTTGATATTTATCAAAGCATTATTTCAGTACCTAATATATAGTGCTTATTTCAAAGCTAACTTGTTATTACGCCAATCAAACGATACAATGATAACCTGTCCAGTATGCTAATTTAAATTATTTTAGTTGACACTCCGTCGCATAATGTTTAGTGTTATTTACAGTACTTGCGAATCATATGTCATTGTGTCGTAATAATAATAATACTAATAATCCCGTCCTTGTTATCATTATGAAGTTAAAACTTTTACCCCTTTTTATGAAAATTGTACGCACGTATGAGTTTGACATTTCACACAGTTATCTATGTACACTATATACTTACTAATATTATAATATTGAAGAGTTTGTTTGTTTGAACGTGCTAATCTCAGGAACTACTGGTTCGAATCGAAAAATTCGTTTTGGTTTGGATAGTACATTTGTCGACGCTACGACCAATAGGAGCGGAGATGCAATTATTGCAAAAGGTAAAACGCAGACTAAGTTGCGCGGGTGAGCTAGTAGTTTATATTGAGAAAGAGATTTCTTCTAAATTAATTATGCTCGAATGCGACCATTGGGCGATTGCTAGTAATAATAATAATGATGCTAAACAACTACGAACAACACTCAGCGCAATCTAGTCCCAAGCTAAGCAATGCTTATGTTATTGGTCCTAGGCAACTGAAAGAAATGTTTAAATGTATTTTTTTAGTTTAAATCTGGCCAACAACAAAAAAACTGTGTCCGTTTACTAACTTTTCAGTGAAGGAAACAACGATATCAAACCAAAAGTTAGTTAGTGATACGACGTTAGACTCGTGCCCTGCGACGTTACATTAAAACATGTTGTTAATACAACATCAACAATGTCCCTGACTACCCCATCAAATATATTATACATACAAACAGTACAGGTACTAAGAGAACATGACTCGCAAGTAGACTAGAGCCTACCACCCTCTATTGGAGCAATGTGTTTTCTTTATTCAAATATACCGCAAAGTAAATGTGGGCATGTCAAATGTTGTTAATACAACATCGACAGTTGACAGCGACTCTGACTACCCCATCAAAGGTAACAGTCGTGAAGTTATCTTACCGATACTACAGTGAATGTTCCAGGACATGTCTATTGGATCAATGTGTTTTCTTTATTGAAATATAGCGAGCGAAATGTGGACATGTCAAGTGTTGCGTACACCACGACATTGACAGTCGAGAATACCCTTGACTACCGCATCAAAGATAACAGTCATCTTACCGATACTACAGTGAATATACCAGGAGAACATGACTCGCAAGTAGGCTAGAGCCTACCACCCTCTATTGGAGTAATGCGTTTTCTTTATTCAAATATACCGAGCAAATGTGGGCATGTCAAGTGTTGTTAATGTAACATTGACAATGTCCCTGACTACCCCATCTGGACTAACAGTCGTGATGGTATGTTTATGTTTATTATAGAAGGATATAAAGGCAAAAACAAGCTATCTAATTTAAATAGATACCAATTAGTAATGGACAGCCTTAATAATTTTAATGCCATTACCAGACTGGGCGTATACGTGATTACTATGCGTTGTAAGGCCGTTCTCAGACATGTCGATACGTCGTTCATATCGGGAAATTATGTATCGTTAGGTTTATCGGTATATGTATCGATATCGATCGATTAATTTATTGAGTGATTTTTTATAATGTAATGTCGATAGTGTATGTTTCTATGTGTTTGTTAATAGTTCTTAACTGCACGAAAGAATAACAAATAATTTCTCGATAAATGGTTATATAATTCTGTATTTTTAATTTACAAAATTCTATTCATACACTATAAAAAAAATTGGTAACACATCGTTTAGATGATGAAGTAAAAATAACTAAAAAATCATCTAAAATCCAAACCAATAATTGCAATGATAATTAAGTAACAATCACCTAATTTTAAGTGACAACTAACAAATGTATTTTTTTCGGACTGGACTAATGCTGTTGGCGGCAGCTGGCCTTTACAGTTTTACCGGACGATAGGAGGCGAGTGCAGATGGCAGTCCAAACCAAAAGGAGTTATGGAGCGGCTGAAGACCAACTCCCGCCTGACGGATACGACTTTAATCCGACGCCACCGCTAAGAATTCGAACCTCGGCTCAGGCTATCGTAATTTCGGTCCCCGTTTGAATTGCACGACGAATCAAATGCACTTGAACACCACTATAGTAGTATGAGTTATATCATAGGTCTCATATGATAACATGATATCTGAAGTGCTATTCATGTATATAAGCGGTTATCACATACCATTAGATAATGTTTGTTTGCCATTCCAATAACGAAAAATACTGTTGGTTTCACAGTTTCACCGAACAAAAGTGACCACGAATGGAGACAGTACTCTAAAGCTCGTGGAAGGATTTAGTTGATTCGGCCTAACGGACACGACTTAAGTCTGACCGGCTACAGCGAGTCGAGCACCGCTAGGGGATCAAACCTTTGCTCAGGCCGTTACAATGTTAGATAGCATTTTAACTACTCCATATTTACACTCAGTATTTGTGGTGATATGTTATGTAGATATCCGTTGAAGGATAACTTCTGCTTAACGGATACGATTTTAAGTCTAAGAGTACTGTTAGAGCTTTGAACCTCGACTCAAGTCGTAATTTCGATTCCCTAAAGTTCTTAAGGGACATAAGATCGATTGGATAAAACGTATTAAAGAAACGATTTCATACCGCTAAATGGGGAATTGCCTAAGTAAAGTTCCTACTGATCGAAACTCGCCTCCTTAGATCACAACTTACGTAAACGAGGTCATATGGAATTGTCTTCATTAGTTAAGGTTTGATTCTTAGTTGAAACAATAAATACTGCAACATTGTGCTGCACTATTTAAGAACCGAATCCTCTAAGGATTTGGGTTCTTAAAATCGATTGGATAGTTCAGACTGTTGATGATATTTACGTTATTTTGTTTTGCTTCAATATTATCAATCATCTAAATGATTGTAATACCTAGTTCTTTTAATATGGATGAATACATGGCGTATATAAGTAACAAAACATTATACAAAACTGGACTCCTATGTAATCTGTTTTTTTAATGAGTATATTATATGCACTTTACAGTATATTTTACAGTTTTTAACTTGTATAATAATAATAATTTCAGGACAATTCACACAGCGCCATCTAGATCCAAGTTAAGCTAGCTAAAACTTGTGTTATGAATACTAGATAACTGATACATATACATAGATATATATTTTTTTCGTAAATATATACATATTATACATAGAAAACACCCAGACCGATACAAACAATCATACTCATGAATACAAATGTTTGTGCCGTGCGAGGAATCGCACCCGCGACCATCGGTCGTAAAGCGGTGTGCTAGACCGCTAGACCACCGAGGTCGTCAAACTTGTACACTTTATGTACTTGTATACTTTATACTTATATACGTGTATACATTTTAATAAAATTATGTAGACGGATCACATAATTTTATTACAAACTGTAAAGCTATGAACAATCAACAAACAGATAAACTATATTTTACGACATTTAACGACTTTATAATTTTCGTATGGAGGAATAGTAAAGGTATTGGTTTATATAACATAAATATAAACCCCTAGTTATTCCCTGTGATTTAATTATTATATACATATTTATAGCAATCATTCATATAAAATACATATATACATATATATGTATACTAGCTGTCCCGGCAAAATAAAAATAAAAATTTAGGGGCGGACTACCCCTAACATTTAGGGGGATGAAAAATAGATGTTGGCCGATTCTCAGATCTACTCAATACGCTCACAAAATTTCATGAGAATCGGTCAAGCCGTTTCGGATGAGTATGGGAATGAAAACTGTGACACGAGAATTTTATATATAAGATTAGGAAATGTTAAACTTGTATATATTAGTAAAATATACATAATTAATAACTGAAACGGTTCAATTAGATTGATACAAGTAACGCTGTGGCTGCCCACTAGTTTTTAACAAAACATAAATTATGAAATTCCAGCATTCATATGATCCCCATTTCGAATTTTTACTAGAGTATTGAAGGCGCGGGAAATCACTTCGTATTTGCACTACTTTTTTATGCAAGCATAGACAATATTTCTTTTGTTCATTAAACTACACACAAAAAGCACAAAACCACTAGATATAGCACAAAATAATAAAGGAACTGACCAGAACTCTCATCTCGCAAGATGTCTCGAAGGCTACTGATTACTCCCATTATGCTGCATTCCGTTTTTATATACCATCGCAAACACGTCTATATTATTTTTATGTAGATCACTGGACACTGGATGGTCATTGCCTTAAAAAAAGAAAAAACACAATTGAACAGAGAACGGCGGGAATGCAGGAAGTTGTGGATATATGATGGGCGCCATGTTTGATTGGATAGATAATTTTGGACTGGTGTTGCATCATAGACACAGCCATGGGGCTTGATTTTATACGTTCTTTTTTTAAATATAATTTATCATTGTAATGGTAGTAAGTAATGATGAAACAATTCATAATGGAAACATTTGTAATGTTCTTTTCATACAGTATTTTTTAGAAGTTTTATTATGTTTGGGTAATCAAATAGTGTCAGTAATTTTCTGGAAATTAACAGAAGCATGTTCGTCATCGTCATGATGTGTTTTGAAATGGCAACGCATGAGAAAGACCAATGACAATACAATGATGTTCGTAGTTCCGTAACGTTTACAGATGACAGTTATCGCTTTCCATAGCATATAAATCAAGCTCTTTGACGGCTGAAACATGTAGATGCAGACGTCTTATTACAAAGTCTACCTCACTGTAGATTTAAATTAGGTTTTGTTCTCACAAATGAATTGCCAAGACACATAAAACACAGTGATTCTTTATATAAATAATAATAAATAAATTTATTTCATTAACCATTGTTTCACATTAGTATTTCATTTCAACATTAGTATTATATTCTTCTCTATTTATTCTTATATATATATCACTGACTGTCCTTTTTTTTTTTTTTAATTCTGTTCATCCAATAAGGATAGGCAAAGGAACAGTGCTCATACAGCCATAGTATCTACGACTGTCGTTTGTTTGTTTTTTATTCATCCAATAAGGAAAAGCAAAGAAACAGTACCCATACAACCGTAGTGGTTTGCTATTAAGGACATTTAAGAAAACGAGAAAGATGTATTTGCATATCGTTGACGTGCAATAATTATAGCTCTCAACGTATATTTATGCGTGCGTTTAAAATTAATGTGTATGTTGAAGATTTGAACTTGACCTTCAATGGACGCGCACGCATTCCTTAGTCATGTATGTATGTATTCTTACTAACATCGTACATATGAAAGTAATTTTTTTTTATCTCAACCATTTAGTTGTTACTTTTAACAATCAAGCAGACATATACACAAGTATACGGTCCATCTGAAGGGACATGGTTACCGTAGCCTATGGACATCTGAAACACCAACCAATCCCGTATTCGAGTCTGGGGCATTAGATAGTAATGTAGGATTTTTTTTTTCGAAGCAAAGCAATCAAAGATCCATTTTGTAAGTTCTACAGCTGCGGCATTTAGTATACACTAGCCATGCGGTTTGGTATAGTATTTTATTTCACCTTTCCTCCTTTTTCCACCCATATGATGTTTTGTTCCCTTAGTCAGCACGACCTTGGTTAGCGGTTTACGACCTAACATCAACAATTTAAAGATCATTATACTTTAACAGTCATATCTGGAGCTCCACAAAAAATATTACAATGTATCTAAAAATCGAGTCTTAAATATCAAGGCATATGGAGACCCGAGTCACGTGAAAAAACTAGTCGTTAATTGACAATAACTTGCAAATGTGAAGGTAACTGTTGGGCGGTAGGTGTGCAGCGGGAAATATAGAAATCAGGTTGTACTGAATATGACCGTTTGTTATAGTTTGGACAAATATTTGTACCAATTTAATACTTGACAATTGTTTAGATTTCGTAGTTGTTTTAGTTATTTTTGGGCTTGATAATAAAAAAAAATATTGCGTTTCTTTTTTCAAAATCTATATGTACCATTTTTAGCCTCCTATTTATGAATAACTTGATTGACTGAGATAAAAATTAGTACACGCCCTCTGTTTAAAATATTCGCTTACATTGTAAAAAGTTTGTATGTATATTGTATGTTTTGCACAAATATTGTACAAATCTAGCATGGAATCTTTTAGCTTTGTACTGTGTCAGTAAATCGATTGAATGGCGCCTTTGTTTGCCACTGCGCAGTCCGGTGCGTCGCAATGACGAAAGTGAGTAGTAGATAGCACCTGTACATTATTATTATATACTCGAATCTAAATCAGTTATTCCCGAATAAATCTCTACATTGACAAATTCGTACACAACCTCTTGGACAAACACCACAAATGTTGTTCAAGTTTAGCCATTTCGAGGAACGCTTGACGTTGTACAGTAACTGTAACCCATTTGTACACAACATTTTGTACAAACACCACAAATGTTGTACTAATTTAGCCATGTCGAGGAACCTTTGACGTTGTACAGTAACAGTAACACATTTGTACACAACATTTTGTACAAACACCACAAATGTTGTACTAATTTAGTTGTTTCGAGTAACGTCTTACGTTGTACAATGTCTGTAACAAGATTGAGTGGCGCCTTTGTTTGCCAGTGCGCAGACCGGTGCATCGCCGCCGTGACTGTTGATATACACCTGCAATTCTTATATAAGTTCTTTCCATTAATCTCTACACAACATCTTGTACAAATACCACAAATGTTGTACTAATTTAGCCATTTCTAGAAACACCTGATGTTGTACAATGTCTGTAACATGATTGAGTGGCGCCTTTGTCTGCCAGTGCGCAGTCCGGTGCGACGTCGCGCCGTGACGAAAGTGTGGTACGATATAGCACCTGCACTTATTCTTATCTACTTGTATCTATAGCAGTTCTTCTCGACGTTTCCGTGCCCTTATAGGCGGATTTAGAGTTTGGCCTGAGAAAACGTTAAAAAATTTCATATAACCTATTCATATAGCCCTTTTTAGGTGCAAGCGAAGCAGATCATAACATCTGATAGATATACTTAGATACTATATCTAAGTATATGTATCAGTTCAAGTGCGAGCGATCATACTCATGATTACAAATGTTTGTACCGTGCGAGGAATCGAACACGCAGCCATCGGAAGTAAAGCGCTGTGCTATACAGCTACACAACTGCTACTTTTTTTAAATTATATTTGTGTCACGTCTGTTTATCTCTCATCGGCTACTTCAGCCGAAATCTGATACGGCACTAGTTTTAGACCATTGCTAGTAATGACCATGTTTAATATCTTTTGTTAACTTTGTACATAACAACAATAGATTATCATAGTTTTTAGACTATGTCATTTCAGTAGTCGGATATAATTTATTAACTTATTCTACATTACTATTACTTATATAACATTTCTGGTGCTATAAAGAGTAATAAAGAAAACTAGTGGTTGCTCAATAATCAAAATTCGACCATAATTAATTTAAACTATAATTTCGAACTTTTATTCAGGCTATATTGTCAAACTACTAATACTCCTACAAATACTCCTACGTCCGCGCAATTTTCGTAAAAAGAGCTACAAAGTTTTTGTTTCACGTATTAATATAATGATAAATAACTTAATTTTTATATCAGTATAGGTATGGTGTAGTAGTATAGTATCATGGAGCCTACTTAAAAAATAAGTATCTTTCATAAAATACTTAACTGTGCTTTTGCCGTTTTTGTTCCTACAGGCGTTTTTCTTAATCGGACAAAGATTATAGATTATATTGTACATTTATGTTTTTTTTATTTATTTAACTAATTATTTTAATTAGACTTCATCAGAAAGTTTCCTGCGTCTGTACCTATATCTCACCTAATTCAGTCGCGAAGCACCTTGCTGTGTAAATCGTGTTTTGGTAGTAGGGTGCAGATTAGGCAGAAAAATTACAGGATAAGAGGCACGACATAATCCTCTTGTATAGCAAGGCATGAGTTGTATCACAGGCGTCACATGATAACGTGATGTCAGTAGTCCCGATCATGTATATAGGTGACGCTAACCATTTTTCATCAGGCGTGACATCACCTTTCTTGACTTAAAACAGATATACCGATTTGTTCAGTAGCTGTAGCGTAACAAAATTTAAAAAGTGAATAACAATTTTTTTAAGTACAGTTCATAATAATGTATCATGACGACTGTTATTATAGATGGGGTTAGTTAGAGGCCTAGTCAACTGTCGATGTGGTGGTGAATGACATAACTCGCCCTTAATTCGCTATTTACCTATATTTGAATTAAATGGAATTTACCCTAAATATAGAGTACCTATCTATTATCCGCGACTTTGTCTCCATAAACTTTCGTCTCATATATCACGCCCTGAACATTATTTTTCATAAAAGCTGAAACAAACGGCGTATATTTAGCAGGTTCCATTCGTCGCACGATACAAATTACAAACGTTTGTATTCATGAGTATGATTGTTTGTATCGCTCTGGGTGTTTTCTATCTATACATATAAATAAAATTGGAGTGTCTGTTTGTAATATTGAAATAACCGTTTTTTATTTGCATAGGAATATAAACATTGTACATAGACCACAAAAACAAAAACATTTTTACAATTTTTATCTCTATGTTTGTCTGTCTGTCAAAAACAACAAACAAACACACGGAACAGACGTTCCGGGTAATCTCTGAAATGGCTGGACTGAATTTGACAGGACTTTTATTGGCAGGTAGCTGATATAGTGAGTAACTTAGGCTACCTTTATTTTAGAAAATTTCTTATATTTTAGAAAATTAAATTAAATTCCACGCGGACGAAGTCGCGGGTACAGCACTAGCTGTTTGCATGTTTTTTGTAAACATACATATTGTACACTAGTACAATATGTATGTTTACAAAAAACATGTATCAAGTATTCTATTAGTTGTGTAGTACCCATAATACAAGCTTTACTTGACTTGGGACTAGATGGCGCTGTGTGAATTGTCCAGGATTATAATTATTATACTACATCCAGGTATTCTTTAGGTCAAGACCGCAGACAATATACATAACTATATTATTGTATATAAATACAAGACCTACATTATTGTATAATGCAATAGCCCTTTCACTAGACTTGCCTAGAGAACAACCATCTTTGCAACTATTGCATCGCGCTGAGAACTCTTGCATTAGGCTAGACATATGTTGGCTTTATTTTTTCATTTTTTCGGATATCCATCCATATTGTATTAAACGACTTATTAACTATTTTAGTTAATACTTACTTATATATAGTAAGTAATGTTTATCGGTTTTTTTTAATGGATGATAATGGAATGGTGCACCCGCCTGCGCTAACGATTTACGCTGGCGGGGCACCAGTGGAGGATGACAAGATGAGCATGAGGTCAGGTCAGTTAGCCCATCGTGACAAATTCACAAGGAATTTATCACGATGGTTTCCAGGAGGAACCGCGTGGAGGTCAACCTGACTTGGTACATTGCTACTGATGGGGTCATGAATCCACATTACTAGCAATCCCCTTTCCCCCCAATGTTTGTCGGTCTCATGAGCCCTACAATAGAATAGAATAGAATAGAATAGAAAATAATTTATTCAAATAAACTTAATTTAAGCACTTTTGAATAGACAACATTTTTTTAAATCTACCACTTATGAATGAACAATGAACCTGTAACAAAACACTGATCTGTTATTTCAGTTGTTGGGGTTTTTATCTATATTTAGCTTGGGGTTAGATGACGTTGTGGTATTATTACTCGTGAACGAGTGCTGCTTGTGTGGATTGGTCTGCTCTAATCACTATGACTTATTTTCTCTTATTAATGGTTAAACAAACCAGTTGATGTGTATTGAATGTTTTTTCTATTTTATTATTTCATTGAATTAGTGCTAATCGGTAGTTCGTATTCACACACTTAAACTTAAATTGTAAGTAAGAATAAATTATTTAAAAGAGCAACACACAAGTTTCTTGCTTGTTCTTCTTGTGATGAGGCAGCATTCCGAATGGGCGGTAGATTATAAAAAAAATGTTATGACTATTCAAAAGTGCTTCAATGTAAATTTATTTGAATAAATGATTTTCTATTCTATTATTTTTTTTTATTTAATTAACTTTATTGCACGTATAAATATATAGGTAAAAAGTACATCTGGCGGAGTTAACACCTAATAGCATTTTCTACCAGTCTATTATTCCAGTCCCTGTTATTAGTCCAGTATATTATTATTATTATTATAAAAGCTTGTTTTGTAAACAGACAAGATTCAGGATGTATGACTCAATACATTTGAATAGGAATGCGGTGGCATTTCCAAGAGAAAAATAGATTTGTAAAAAATATACTAATATGTTATATCAGTGTTAGATGAAGGTCGTTGGGTCGTAATATTAAAACGAGTACTCGTGGGCCGACCGGGCTTCGCCTCGCGTCATTATTGTTTCATTATTTTTATGTAAAAATAGCTGTGCGCGCGGTTTCACTCACGTTAAATTTCGATATATAGTAAATTTCATTTTTTTCAGAAAAAAAATTCAATATATAATGTGGACTATATGTTATTCTGATGTATAAGCTATGTTACCGTAAAGTTTCATCAAAGTCCGTTCTGTAGTTTTTGCGTGAAAGAGTAACAAACATCAATCCATACTCACAAACTTTCGCGTTTTATAATATTAATAATAAGATTACATATAATACACTTAAAATGGCGACAAAAAGGCGCATACCACTCTTTTCTGTTCCTTAGCGTTAGTACAAATGTTTACATTCCGAGATTTACTAAATTCAGAAAAAATGGTTTAACTATGAAGAAATAATTTTTTTTTATATTGATTAACTGTTCCTTAATATATTACATTCCATTTTTAATTTCGAAATGGAAAAAGGCGCTAAAATGGCTGGAGGTTTTTTTTTATGTTGATTAACTGAATATATTCGTTTATCTATTATAATATATGTGAATATATGAAATTTATATAAAAATACTTATTTATATAGTTAAAATCAATAATCCTTTGTTCAAATAAAGAGTTAGCCAACCGCGCCCATTATTGTTTCCCCGAAATGAATTTGCGTTTTAATTTCCTTTTTTTTATACAAAAACAATAATGCATGAAGGTTTTTTTGTAGTCCGCTCTAATTCCGCCACATATAATAATGTTTACTATTAAGAATTCACGTTCAAGGTTCATAAATACATTTTCGTAACTTCCGCCATTGTATCGCGGCAAATTAATCACGGCATTGACATTGCTTGTAGTGAAACTATTAAATTATAACGTATATCAATTCATTAAGGTTCATTATAAATTATAATACAAACTGCCTCAGTGGTTTAGCGGTTTAGTACACTGGCGTACTTCGCATGGTCGCATGTTCGATTTCACAAACTGTTCAAACATTTGTATTCATGATTATGATTGTTTGTATCGGTTTGGGTGTATTCTATGTATATTATGTATGTATTTACATAAAAATGTATTTATATCAGTTGTATAGTACCTATAACACAAGCTCTGCTTACCGTGGGACTAAATAGCGCTGTTATTTATTTATTTATTATTATAAATCAAACTGAACTATAGGTTAGAACATTTAATAGCTGTATGGATTTCATTCCTTTGTTCAATGATTTAATACTGCTAAAACATAATGCAATAGGATACACGAATTCGGTCTAGTAATTCCAGCAATCTATCGTATTGCTCAATATTACACGGTACTGTATAACTAACTATATGTTAGTACTGCTTGAGCGCTTGAAACAAAGAGCCAGTGAGTTACTGCAGGCTATTACACTATCCATGTTTAGTCACTATTTGTGGCCAGTACTTACGCAACTTACTGTATCGATTCAATTTGAATTTAGAACAGGATGAAATGAAATGTTGCCATTATAAAATTACTATATCATTTATTCACACACATCCTCGCCTCATCTGCATATTTAACTTTTTAATTTACATGTATGTACATCCAAACAATTGAGTATTTATTACATTTGGTATCTAAAGAACTAGAATCACAGTTTACCATCCGTGCGCGAGGCCATGACCGTATCCGAGAGCGGGCGCGCCGTATGCTACGGGGGCGACGACGGCGGAGTGGACGAGGGGGGCGGGGTGGGATTGGGAGAGGGATTGGGTCACCACGGTCTTGCTGGCGGCCAGGGCAGGGGCTGCGTAGGCACCGTGGGCGGCGACAACGGGAGCGGCGTAGGCAGCAGGGGCAGCGTAGGCAGCTGGGGCAGCCACCACGGGGGCGGCGTATGCGGCATGTCCTACCACAGCGGGGGCAACGCGACCGGCGATCTGCTTGGCGAGGATGGGGGCAGCACCAGCGGCGGCACCGTCCAACTGAGCCTCGACAGTCTTCACGGCATCGATCGCCTGCCAGCTGTTGTCCTCAGCAGCGTTGATGGCGCGGCCTTGCAGTTCGGAGGCTTGGTCGTGGTATTCGCGGGCGGCATCGACGGCGGCGCGGGCGTGGTCGGAAGCTTCGACGTGAGCGTCGATGGCGGCACCTTGGATGTCACCGGGGGAGATGGTGGGGAGAGCGGGACCGTGGGCAACAGCGACGGGGGCTGCGTGGGCGACGGCCAATGGCGCGGCGTGGGCAACCGCGAGAGGAGCGGCACCCAGACCTAAACCATGGCCCAGGAGACCATGACCGGCCAGCAGGCCCGAGGGCACTGCGGCGGCGGAGGCGAGGACGGCGGCGGTGAAGATCTGTAAACAAACAGCAATTTCAAATATCGAATCCATCCAATCTCGATTATGTCACAACACTAAGCACAACACTAGTTCACGTAACACATTGTTTGATTATCGAATTATTATTTTTTAAATCACGATTATGGTAATGGTTGCTCAACTAACCAGAACTCTCATCGTGCACTTCTGTTGTAGACTGCTCGAAGGCTACTGATTGCTCTCATTTCGTTGCCGACCGTTTTTATAGTGGTACCGAGCGTGGTGCGAAACGGAACGCGCGTGAAAAAAGTAAGTGGTCGCTCTCAAGGGCGGGAAGGGTGCAGGAAGCGCGGCAATTTTGACAGATAGATTACGTGTTCCGATTTTGAATTTGACAGCGTCGGTGCAAAATTCGTGGTCACAACTTGCGTTTACTTTTTTAAATCTACACCAACGTCGAACAAAGCGGCGACGTTATAATGCCATATTTTTTTATTGCCGATGTACATAAATTATTTACAATTATTATTATTCTTGATACAACTAAAGTTACATTTGCATATATTTCTAAAATAAGCGACATAATCATCTACTTATTAGAATTAATTTGCATTTGAAATTTAAGCTAATATTTTCTAGCATCCGGATGCTGGTGGGGTCAAAAAACTATAGTAAACTTTTGTTTAAGTTAGTATAGCTTTTCCAGAAGCAGATCTTTTGTATAAAAGTCGTCTGCGTGTAAAAGTCTGACACACTTTTTTCTGTAAACTTTGTAAGTAAAGATGACAGTGGAATTACAGGGTATAAAGGCATAACATCTTAGTCTGTATGTCCATACATATTCGCTTTATGCCTGAGGGAAATTTTAGTCATTGGGACTATTGACCTGTTGCTAGAAGTTTCCATATCAGGTCGACCTCCACGCGAACCCCTATGGAAACCGCCGTGGTTATTTCCTAATTATAATGAACTAACTGACTTGACTTCATGATCATCCCACTCAATAGTAGAGTGCATCAAACCATTATTATCCAGCCAAGAAAACAACTTAGTATTCTTGTTGTTTTTTTTTTAATTTAGAAGTAAACTTTTTTTAGCTTAAAATAATATATTTTTGTAAGAAATCATTTTGTTACAACAGAAGAAATTAATAAATCGTATTAACTGTATTGCATACATGCATGCTTTATTCAAAATAATGTATTGTAATATTTAATGCAATACAAATAGAAATTAAAATAGTTTGAATATAAAATAATGAACTACATGCATACATGTATGCATTTTACGAAACAATGTATAATGATGTTTAATGCAATATAAATAGAAATTAAAATCGTTTGAAATTAAAATAATGAACTTAATACGGGGTCATTTGTATAATGAAAGAGTTGTGACCAATCAAACGTGATTCATAAGGCCGTGTTACACGTACCGAGTAAATTAAGGTACACTTTGTACAAAGTCAGCCGAACAGCTTGCTTTGTAAGCAAAACTTGCTAAAAAAACTCAAACACAAGTTTTTTTTAAAGGGTGATAGTGGAATAATGCACCCGCCTGCGCTAAAGGTTTACGCTGGCGGGCACCAGTGGAGGATGATAAGATGAGCATGAGGTCAGGTCAGTTAGCCCATCGTGATAAATTCACCAAGAATTTATAATGATGGTTTGCAGGGGGAATTGCGTGGAGGTCAACCTGACGTTGTGAGCACTAAGTTTATTAGGGGGGAAGGAGATTGTTAGTAATATGGACTCATGACCCCATTACTAGCAATGTACCATGTCAGCTTGACCACCACGCGGTTCCCCCTGGAAACCATCGTGATCAATTACTGGTGAATTTGTCACGTTGGGCTAACTGACCTGACTTCATGCTCATCTTGTCATCCTCCACTGGTGCCCCGCCAGCGTAAACCATTAGCGCAGGCGGGTGCTCCATTCCATTATCATCCTTAATAAAAATAAGTTTATTAGTCTACATTACTAACAATCCCTTTTCCCCGCTGTGATTGGGTTTTAAGGTGCAGATTAGGCAGTAAAGTTACAGGATATGTGGCATGATATGTTAGACCTTTGAAATGGCAACGTATGAGTGATATCACGGGCGTCACATGATAACGTGATGTTGGTTCTGTTCATGTATATAAGCGACGGTTGCCACTTACCATCAGGCGGGCCGTAAGTTTGTTTTTCTAATTACACGAAAAAGTATTAATATAAAAAATATACTATTTTAAGAAAGGTGTTACATATGAATGTGGATGGTTATAAGGGCAGAGAAAGGCCGAAAAAGATATGGATGTGTGAAAGATGATTTGGTAAGAAAGGAAGTAAATAACGAGATGACTGCGAACAGCGATGAATGGAAGAGAAAAACATATTACGACGACCACAAATAAATGGGATAAGGAAGAAGCAGATGATGATACTAGTAGACACAGTAGGAAAGGTAGTTTTATAATCAAGTAAGAAAAAAAAATTGCGTATGTAAGCAGTAATTACATAAAAAATTCAATAACAAAAATATGTGTCTGTCTGTCTGTCTATTTGTTCAGCAAGAACAAATAGACAGACAGACAGACAGATCGATCTCTGAAACGGCTGGTTCGATTTTAACGGAACTTTCATTCGCAGATAGTTAATGTTATAAGGAGTATAAGCTATTTTAATTTAAAATTAAATTTATTTTAATAACATCAAGTTTGATTTTAACTTTTTTTTATTAAATTAAATTAAAACGCCGACTAAATAGTCTGTAACTCGCTAGTCACTAGTTAAGTAATAAAACTCTTTTTTTACTATTGTGGAATGCAGTGATTTACATACCCATTGTGATATACATACATATGTACAAGACGCGTTGATGTCTAATCAACGTGTTTTAGCGATTAAGCCAATTATATAGATCTTATGGATTATCTATACATATAAATAAAATTGGTGTGTCTCTCTGTAATATTGAAATAACCGTTTTTTACTACATGCATATGAATATAAATATGGTAATTAGACCAAAATAACATTTTCTACAATTTATGTCTGTCTGTTTGTTCCGGCTAATCTCTGAAATGGCTGGACCGATTTTGACGGGACTTTTTTTGGCAGATAGCTGATGTAATAAGGAATAACTTAGGCTACTTTTATTTTAGAAAATTAATATTAAAATCCACGCGGACGAATCAATCGCAAGTAGTGTAATAAAATTCTTCATTTTAATTCTGTGGAATTAATGTTTTGTGTATTGTGTACAAAATACATTGATGTCCAATCAACATGTTTCAACGACCAACTCGATAGAGCCTATAATGATCACCCCCGAACAATGGAAGGCCGTTTACCGTGGGAGATGACATCTATAGCCTATGATGCTGTCATACAATGCCTCGTAATTTTTTTACTATTGTGGAATGCGAGTCGTATATGAAAGCAAAGTATTTCATAGATGATAATACACCCGCCTGCGCTAACGGTTTATGCTACAAAATGATCAGTTGAGTCTAATCAATGCCTTTCTAACGGTTTACGCTGGCGGGGCACCACTATATAGATCAGTTTATGGATTATCTAACATATAAATAAAATGATGTTGAACATGTAAAGGTACCCGCCTGCTAACGGTTTACGCTGGCGGGGCAATAAGGATGATTTTGAGCATGAGGTCATACCCGCCTGCGCTAACGGTTTACGCTGGCGGGGCACCACTAGAGGATGATAAGTTGAGCATGAGGTCAGGTACCCGCCTGCGCTAACGGTTTACGCTGGCGGGGCACCACTAGAGGATGATAAGTTGAGCATGAGGTCAGGTACCCGCCTGCGCTAACGGTTTTCGCTGGCGGGGCACCACTAGAGGATGATAAGTTGAGCATGAGGTCAGGTACCCGCCTGCGCTAACGGTTTACGCTGGCGGGGCACCACTAGAGGATGATCAGTTGAGTATGAGGTACACGAACACGCAAGCGCTAACGGTTTACGCTGGCGGGGCAACTAGAGGATGATCATTTTAATACCCGCCTGAATTAATGTTTTGCTGGCGGGGCACCACTAGAGGATGATAAGTTGAACATGAGGTAAGGTACCCGCCTGCGCTAACGGTTTACGCTGGCGGGGCACCACTAGAGAGATCAGTTGAGTAATGTTCACCCGCCTGCGCAATAACGGTTTACGCTGGCGGGGCACATCTAGAGGATGATGTTGAACATACAATGCCCGCCTAATTACACGGTTTAACGCTGGCGTGGGCAACTGTAGGATGATAAGTTGAGTATGAAAGCAACGTAGTATTTCATAGATGATAATGGAATGGTGCACCCGCCTGCGCTAACGGTTTACGCTGGCGGGGCACCACTAGAGGATGATCAGTTGAGTATAAGGTCAGGTACCCGCCTGCGCTAACGGTTTACGCTGGCGGGGCACCACTAGAGGATGATAAGTTGAGCATGAGGTCAGGTACCCGCCTGCGCTAACGGTTTACGCTGGCGGGGCACCACTAGAGGATGATAAGTTGAGCATGAGGTCAGGTACCCGCCTGCGCTAACGGTTTACGCTGGCGGGGCACCACTAGAGGATGATCAGTTGAGTATGAGGTCAGGCATCCGCCTGCGCTAACGGTTTACGCTGGCGGGGCACCACTAGAGGATGATAAGTTGAGCATGAGGTCAGGTATCCGCCTGCGCTAACGGTTTACGCTGGCGGGGCACCACTATAGGATGATCAGTTGAGAATGAGGTCAGGTCACTTTGCCCATCGTGATTAAATAACCAGGAATTAACCACAATGGTTTCCAGGGGTACCGCGTGGAGGTCGACCTAACATGGTACATTGATAACAATGGGGACACTAGACCCTATTTCTAAAAATCTCTTTCCCCACAACGTAGTATTCGAAAGGGCAGGGGATTACTGAGGGAACTAGTGACCCTGTTGTCTATGCAGTGTCAAGTCGACCTCCACGCGGTCCCACTTGGAAAGCATCGTGATCAGTTTCTGGTAAATTGTTCGTAGGGAATCTCTCATCCTATCATCCCCCTCTGGTGCCCCGTCAGTGTATACTGTTAGCGCAGGCGGGTGCACTATTCCATTAAAAAAAACATAGTATTCGAGAGGCAGTATAGTTTTTAGTAATGGGGACTAGGGGAGGGGACTAGTGAATATTGCATGTACCATCAAGTCGACCTCCACACGGTCGCCACTGGAAAGCGTCGTGGTTAATTTCTGGTTATGTCGTTCACCACGATGTGCTAACAGACCTGACCTCACCCTCATCCTAG